TTATCTAAAGAATTAAAGTTAGACATGATAACAAGAAATGCATAAGCATTTTCATAGAAGCACAATTCACAATAGCCACGCTATGGAACCAGCCTAGATGTCCATTAATGTATAAAGAAAATGTGGTAAATATGCAAAGTGGAGTTTTAGTCAAAAAAATAAGAATGGAATTATGTCATCTGTAAGGAGATGGATGGAATTAGAGAACACCATATTAAATGAAATAAGACAGACTCAGAAAGTAAAGAATCCTATGTTGTTTCAGTCAGCTTTTTCACTGCTGTGACTAAAAGATCTGACCAAAACAATTTTAGGAGAGGAAAAGTTTATTTGGGAGCTCAATGTTTCAGAGGTCTCAGTCCAAATTAGCCCACTCCATTCTTTGGGACTCAAGTTGAAACTAAACATCATGGCAGAGTGTGTGGCAGAGGGAAGCAGCTCACATGATGATAAGAGAGCAGAGAGAAAAAGAGAGAGACTCCACTAGCCTCATACAAAATATATACTCCAAAGTCATGCTCCTAATGCTCCACCCCCTCCAGCCATACCCAACCTGTCTTCAGTCACCATTCAATTAATCCCATCAGGGCTTGATTCACTGATTAGGTTGAGGATGTAGCCCAGTCATTTCTCCTCCAAACCTTCTTGCACTGCCTCACATCTGAGCTTTTGCCTCCACATACAAACCATAACATACGTTTTTCTCTCATATGTGGAAGTTAGAGAAAAAAGTGGGGGAAAGTGATAACTTGAAAAAAGAAGGTAGACTAGTAGAGGAAGGAGGAGGGGAGGAAAAGGAGAGATGAAATTGACCAAATTGTTATGTGCATGTATGAAGATATCACAATGAATCCCACCATTATGTATGATTATGTGTTAGTCAGCTTTTTGTCACTGTGATCAAAATGCTGACTGGAATAACTTAAAGGAGAAGTTTATTTTGGCTAACAATTTCAGAAATTTAGTTCATGGTTGGCTGAGTCCACTGCTCTTGGCCCCAGTAAGACAGAACCTAAAGAGGAAGGGCATGGCGGAGGGAAACTGCTCAGGACTTTGTTGCCAGGAAGTAAGGTGAGTAGGGGAAGGGATGCAGGAAAGAACCCTTCAAGAACACTGATCCCAGTGACCTACCACCTCCAGCCATGCCTCACCTGTGAATAGTTACCACCCAGTTACTTCATTTAAACTAAGATAGACTAATAAGGTTACAGCTTTCATAATACAATCATTTAACCACCAAATACTCCTGAATTAACACAGAAGCTTTTGAGGGAAATCTCAGATTCAAACCAGAACAAAGTATAATACATCCATAAAAATTAAATAATAGTTGACAGAAATAGACTCCACAATTATAAAGGGAGAGTTAACAAATAATAAAATTCCAGTAATTACCATAACAAGTACATACAGATACATACACACAAACCATTAAGGGAAAAGATTTTAACAACAGCATTAACAAACTTTACTTAATAGACGCATATAAAGCATAATACCCCCAATATTACCCCCACACACACACACAAACACACACACACACACACAAAGAGGATTAAAAAAAAAGTAACTATACACAAGGCAAGTACTAACAAGTTCCAATGATCATTCAATTATAAACATTTTGACGGTAGTTACACAGTGGCTCACTTTTCATTTATTCATCAAACTGTCCATATATCTTATATACTTCACATGAGCTATATTTCACAATAATTTTTCAAATGGTAATTGATCTATACCATTTATGTACATACTCATCTATTTTTTTCTTTTCAGGTTTTCAAAACTTATTCCACAGCAAAAAAAAAAAAATCTTCAAGAAAAAAAGATGAGTCAATATGCTTCAACAGGAAGCAATTAAGCAAGATTCAAGATTCAAAGTTCCATTAAAATGAACCCTGACATACTCTAGTAGATTTTAAAACTTATAAATCCAAGCATATTGAAAGCATTCTCAAAGCAATATTTGTACATAATCAAATCATCCTAGTGCAGAACTGCAAATAACCAGATGCTGTCTGTCTGTACGCAACTGAAATAGTACAAATCTAAATTAAAATATTTTCAATATTGACAATATCAGAACCAGAGGCACTTACACCATTGGCCAAAAGCAGTTCTGTGGTAAATTTGTCCCATTAGCCATCTATTTTAGTCAAATACCAAACCAACCAATGATTCAAAGTAATCATTTATGTTGCCAACTTAGAGATAAAATTAAACTTTATAAATAGGGGATTTATAGTTAAATGGTTAAAATTTAACATTTCAGGATACAAAAATAACATATACTCAAACATATCTAAAGTGATACATGCCAGGTATGCCCATAGTCCTTGCTACTTGGGAGGCTGAGGCAAAACCGCGTGAGCCCAATTGTTGTCCAGGTTAACAGAGAGAGGCCTACCTCAAAAACAAAAACTAAACCCTAAACAGATTTAAACCATAGTCTTAAAAATATCAAGTGAACTATATTAGAATTTTTTTCTAAAATTAATAAAAAGTAGTGCATTAGTTATCTATTGCTAACATATTATCTCACCCAGAATTTTATGTAAGAAAAGTTTAAGGAACACAATCCCTTGGTGGTAGAAGGTGGTAACTGTCTCAAATCTGTATCTGTTTAACAATCAAGAAAGACTGGCCTGCAATTCCAGCAGTTCAGGAGGCTGAAACAGGAGGATCACAAATTCAAGGCCAGTTGAGCAATTAAGGGAGGCCTTAAGCAACTTAGTGAGACCTAGTCACAAAATAAAAAACAAAAGGGGCTGGGATACAGCTCAGTGGTAAAGAACCTCTATGTTAAATCTCTAGAATCTGCTCTCCCCCCCCAAAAAAAAGAAGAAAGAAAAACTTATTTATCCATATCAAAGTACACTGATAGTGATTATCCCCAAATCTCATTAATTTAAGCATGTCTAAATATATACTAAATTCACTTCTATAAACTTCCTAAAAATAGAAAGTGTTAGCTGAAAATATTAACTTAGATAGTATTCAAAGGAAATTTTTGGTGGTACTGAGTAAAAAGGAGGGAGTTTAGGTTATGAGATGTATTTAAGGAAGAGAAGACCTTCATCCTAAGCTAGGTGAGTATCACAGTGGGAACTTCAGGGACTAAACCTTTGACTATTGCTTCTCATATCATGAATACATTCAATCAGGTAGAAAAATTTAATCAAACCATTTCAAGAAGAGCAATATTTAACTCAAACTACACCAAAGCATATTATACATTTTTAATAGTTTTATTCAGTGTCCCAAGCTGTTTGGATATCATCCTTTACTTTTCTAGTCTTTTTTCAATATCAAAGAAAGAGTTTATCTCTTTTCTCAGTTTTAATTTTCTTTTGTTCTTCAGATTTAAAGGGACAAAGAAGGTAGGAGCCATAAGAAAGTTCAGAAGTCCAAATTGGTCTCTTTAGACATAAAACTGATGAAAAGCAAAGACTGTTTACAGACTTTAAATTCAACTCCAAAACACTGTAGCATATGTTGCTTAAATATTATGTATTTTTACTTGTCCAGTATTGCTCATGTCAGCTATTGATTTCGCCAACAATCCATGGGCAAAGGGTTGAACACAATTTTTCAATAGAACAAGGGGTCATCAACTGAGACCTAAAGCCCAGATCCAGCCGACATACTGTGCAAACGTAATTAATTAGGAGGCCATTAGGCTGTGATGGCTCCAAAGCCTTGGTTCCTATGTAAGGAAAATCAAACCCAACTCAATGGAAGAAATAAAATAAAATTTAAGTTTAACCAATGGAAATTACCAACTAAGCAGTAGTGGCACACACTTATAATCCCAGCTACTGGAGAGGCTGAGGCAGGAGGAATGCAGGTTCAAAACAAGCCTGGGCACCTTGGCAAGACTTTGTGTGAAAATAAAATTTGAAGAGCTGGGGATGTTACTCAGATATTCGCTTAGCATGCACAAGGTCCTGGGTTCCTGGGTTAAATCCACAGTATCCAAAAAAAAAAAAAAAAGAAGAAGAAGAAGAAAAAGAAAAAGAAAAAGAAAAAGAAGAAAAAACTACCAACAAACCTCTTACTAGAGACTTTCTACTTTGACCAATCAAAAACTTGCCTTGCCTGACTGCTTCTTCTAACACTTTATAAACGTTTTCCTACTTGAAATCTGGTGCTGCCCCATTCATGAATTCCTGAAAGCTCAAATAACTAGAATTTTAGTATGTCTACTTTATCTTTTTTTTTTTACATTTATCTTTTAATAACTGTTTTTGTACAGTCTTTGAGTTTGGAATGGTTTTTATATTTTTAAAGGGCTGGAAAGGAAGGAAGGGAAGGATGCATGAAAAAAGGGAGGGAAATAAAAAAAAGAATGAAGATAAGAATATGCAACAGAGACTGTTTTATGCCTGGAAAACCTAAAAATAAATCAGTAGTCCTAGCTTTGTATGGTACTGCACTAACACAAACTTCAAAGTGAGGATTGACTGTATTTAATATCTCGCCTTTTACAGAAGTAGAGAATATACAAATGATCAATAAATACATAAAGAGATGTGCAATAATATTAGGTCATTAGGAAAATTAGGGGGAAAACCCAATATAATATCAATATATATCTACCAATGTGAGGTGTTATAAATATTTGGGGACAAAAGAATTCTCATACACTGCTAATGGGAATGCAAATTAACACAATTTGAAACACTTTTTGGTGGTATATTCCATAAACACACATCTGCATAGGCTATAACACAGCCATTTTACTACTAAATATATACCCAAAAGAAAGTATACATAAATTCACCAAAATACTTATAAAACCTCATAACAACCCTTTTGGTAGTAACCTAAAACTGAATGTAATAATATGCAATATGAAAATGAAAAAACTACTGCTATTTCACCCATATAAATCTCACAAATATAAAATTGAGGTGAAGCCAGACTCGGAGGACTATATACTATATAAAGTCAATAATAGCTGAAACTCAAATGTTAGAAGTTGAGATAATGGTTACCTTTGCTAAGCTGGCACCACAAAGTAGGGCTTCTGGAATGCATGTACTGTTTAAGGTTCTTTCTTGATCTAGGTACTGGAGACAGGGGTGTGTACACTCTGAAATTCAATGAGTTGTACACATATGATTCAGACACTTCTATGTTTATCATACTTTTTAAAAACAAACACAGAATTTCTATGAACTCCATGCCTTTCAAGGAAAATTGTGTACATCTCCATTCCCTTTTCTGATTTGCCATCATTACCTCTCTCCAATTAGACAACTTTTACTACTCCACATTGAAAAATTGGCTTTGTTTTTATTAATTTTACTAATATACTATTGCACATGATTCCCCATGACTATATAACTGTCACTTTGGGTTAGTTCCATCCCAGACCCAAAGAGGAAACTTTACAAAGAATAACTTGTAATAGTATGTTAAAGTTATATAGTAAAGAAAAAAGAACCTGCTTGAAATGCTGTTTTATTTGACCACTTGTTTTGGCTTACCTTTATCTACTGCTGTGATTCAACCCCCATAAAATGCTCAAAGGAGCTTTTCAAAAAGCCTGTTCTTGAGGAAAGTTGTTCCTTTCCACCATCCCTGTCTAATCATGAGTCAATCTTGTGTTTATCCAATTCCTTCCATCCACAAGGCTTAAAGTACTTCGCAAATATTGCCGGGTGGTGTCACCTTCCAGTTAAATAAATATGGGCCCTCGGACGTCGTAACCCAAAAGAACTTTAACAGTATCTTTGTACAGCATGGCTCAGCACACTTAAAAAAAGCGCCAGATTGTATTCTTACTCACAACTTACAATAGTGAGAACCAAAATATAAAACGATTCAAGTGCCTGTCAAGGGCGCAGAGTAGATCAGAGGCTGAACCCAGAGGACTAGAACCCTCTAACTCCCAGGGGCTTAAGGGAAAAGCAAGCAAAACCCCTACACTTTTGAATAAATGCTTAGCTGCTGAAGTCCTGTAATAGCAAAGAAAGAGTTGTCTGTCACCTGAGAATCCCAGGACGCTGACCTCTGAGGGTGCCCCATCACTCCTGGGCACACGGGGCCAGCATTCACTGGGTACGGATTCCGCGCGGCCCCTTCAGTTTCTCCAAGGAAGCTGCGGCCGGAAATTCCAAGGCTGGTTTCTGCCCACCCCGATCAGTCTCCAGTCGCCCAAACCTCCCCTCCACCCGGTTTACCTGGGATGCGGTAGGCATCACTCCGGGGAGCCGACTGGAAGCACTCTCTCACAGAGTTTCTCAGGCCGGATGCGCAACTACCGCGTCAGTCAAAGCCACGGACTCAGCGGCTCGGCCCGGAGGCGCGCGACCCCAAATGATCCAGCGGGGCGGGGCACCGGAGGGAGACCGAGCCTGCCGCACGCCGCGCGCGAGGGCCCGCAGAGACCGAGGCGGTGCGCACCGGGCATGCGCGAGCCGCGCCGCCGGGGCGCGGGGCGGGGCCTCCCTGCAAGCGAGAAAGCTTGGCAAGTCCTCTCTGGAGCCGGGAGAGGACGGAAGGCGGGCCAACTGTGGTTGTGGGGTCTGAGACCACTGGTGCGTTCCGGAACAGCAAAATAGTGCCCCGACAAAACCTAATCTGGTTGGAGGAAGGCGTAGGAAGGCTTGGGGAGACTGTGTGGTTGTGTGTGTAGCTGGAGGGGAGAGAGTGTGGGAATTGAGAGTGTGGTGGAGGGGCCGGGCCTGTAGCGCAGTGAAGGTCGAATGAAAAGGGCACAGGCGAGCAAAAGTGACACCTAGGCCCTCTCCAAAAAATGCTTCAGGCTAAAATTTTGGAGCTGGTGACTTTTTTAAGTCCTGGAAGGAAATCTGATTTTTCACATTATGTGGATTCACAGAATGTTGAGCCTTTCAGAATTTAATAAAACAACAACAAAAAACAATTCGCCTACCACTCTGTTGAAACAATAGAAAGCCAAAGATATCTTTAATCGTAGAATAATATTAAGAGTTTTATCAGGACCCATAAAATGAGCCGGTAGTGATTCAAAAGTGTTCCACAAGTCAGAATTGCATTTATAAATATCTCTTTAACTCCTGTTACTCATTAATCTGTTGAACACACGAGTATTTATTCAGAACATACTATGTGCCAGGCACTCTTTGGGTTCCTGGATAAAGATTTTTTTTTTACACATCCCCAGAGAATAGGAATAATATAAAGTGTTGATGGACCCCCAAGTTAGTGGTTAAATTTAATAAGAGGAACTTAGACTTTAGTAACTGTAAAAACCGTGTAAAGGGTTGGACCAAAAGAGGTTAAAATACATAATGTTGTTATTTATATGGTAAAGAATAAACAGTACTCTGGAGGGGTTTGTTATAGATTCAGCCTTGAAATGTTTTCTTTTTTGTTTTTGTTTTGGCTTTACATCTGGATTCAATCAGATATTTGGGGACACAATCATAAATATTTTGAGACAAAAAAAGAGGGGCTTTAAGTTTGTCAGAACAGAGACTCCAATCAAAAAGGATATTATAATCAGGAAAAATGACTTGAAGTAATGGTTAGTGCCAAATCAAATGATGTGTAATTAAAGGAGGGAAAGTTTCTTTTCTTACTTAAAGAAATGAGAGGGCCAAGGACTACAAAATTGAGAAAATTGACACCAAATAATAAGTTAGGATGAATTTAGAGAAAGTGATAATAGCTTTTATTGAGTAAAGATTCATTTTGCCTCAGTTTTTAAAGCCCATTTTCTGAATTTCTAAAATCTCCAGAGTAAAGGAAAAAATCTGTTTTCTTCAGTAACCTGTTTTTTTTTTCCTTCCCTCTCTTTTATGTAACAAGTTCAAACTTTAGACCTAATTCTCCCTTATCCCATTTCCAATTTAGGTATTCATTAATGCTCTTTCTGCAACTTTTTATACCATAATAGGTAATTTTTCCCCACTCCTCTCCACCACTACCTCTATCCTCATACACACATTTTTTTAATTCTCCATCCTGCTAAGAGTTATCTGAAAAATGGCTTTGGATGACTTTGGGTGAGGAATTTTAAAGTATGAGAAGGACAGAATCAAGGAAAACTGGAGGAGTTAATGTCTCACTCTTCTTTAAGTATGGATAGAACTTAGCAAGGCAAAAAGGGAGTAAAGGTGCAGAGAAAATAGAATTCTTTGTAGAGGAATCAATATGGAGATAAGATACTTTTGGTAATTGTAAACACTTTAGGATTACTACAATATGGAATTCAAGATGAAAAATGGTGGAAAATGAGGTTGTAGAGTTTATGAAGTATTTCATTTTAGTACTCTGGTTCGATTCTATAGTTAATAGGAATTTAAAATTAAAGGTAATGATATAGTTAGATTTGTACTTTAGACAAATCATCAATTTGGAAGATATATTTCATAATCAAAATTCCCATGGTAGCAAGCCTATTTAATCCAAGGTAAAAATGATAAAATGTATGCAGTAGGGCATGATAAATGGAAAAGGATGAATTGAAGAAGTAGAAAATAAAGTTTGAAGATTTTAATAACAACTGAGAAAGAGGGAGTTCATAGAAAAATGAATGAATAAGAAAGTTAATTTTTGGACAGAATGAATTTGAGTCATTGGGAAATTTAAGGGGAGTTCTTCAGCAGTCAGTTGTACAATTTCATATGTAAGGATGTGTTCTGGACTGGCCTGGAGATAAAAATATTAAGAATAATTAATAACAGCAATTGTTAAAGCTACTATTAAAATTTTGAAATTCAGTCCCATAGCATTCTTATCTATCATGTAATCCTTTTATAAATCACCTGTCTAAAGATCATGATTCATTTTTTTAACTGACTTTTTGTTTTTAAATGCAGTACTAGGATTGAACCCAGGGCCTTTCACCTGTCAGGTAAGCACTCTACCACTGAGTGATACTCCAACCCCAACAGATTTATTTACTTATTTATTTTGGTGGTAGTGGGAATAGACTTATTTTTTAAAGCAGTTTTAGGTTTACAAAATTGAACAGGTTGTACAGAGTTCTCATATACTCTGCCTTTCCCCATGATTTCCCCTGTAATTAACATCATGCATTGGTATGGTATATTGGTTACAATTGATGAACTAATACTGATATTAAATTAACTAAAGTCCATGGTTTACATTAGGGGTTACTCTTGGTGTTGTATTGTTCTATGGAGTTCACCAACTGCATTATAATGTGTCCATTATTATAGTATTAGAATAGTTTTACTATTCTAAAACATCCCTGTGCTCCACCTATTTATCTTTCCCTCCCTCCCCTGGAACCCCTGTCAGTCCTTTACAACCAGTGATCGTTATTATCACTATCATTTTTTTTCCTTTTTCCTGAATGTCATAGAATTGGTATGGTTTGTAGCCTTTTTGGACTGACTTCTTTCACTGATCAATATGTATTTAAGGTTCCCACATGTCTTTTTATGACTTAATAGCATATTTCTTTTTATTGCTGAATAATATTCCATTGTATGAATGTACTAAAGTTTGTTTATCTACTTACTAATTAAAGGACATCTTAGTTTCTTCCAAGTTTTAGCAATTGGGAATAAAGTCACTATTGACATCCATGTGCAAGTGTGGACATAAGTATGTAATTCATATGGGCAACTACCAAATGTTCAATTGCTGGATCATATGGCAAGCCTGTGTTTAGTTTATAAGAAACTACCATACTGTCTTTCAGAGTCGCCATACTAACTGCATTCCCACAAGCAATTAACAAGAGTTCTTATTGCTCCATACCTCCAGAGGTTTGGGTTTAGGCATTTTCAAAGATTTATGGTGGTATTTCATTTCTTCAAATTCAAAACTCATGAGGCAGACCAAGCTTAACATATTCAAAATCAGAAAGATTATTGTGTTGGATCAGAATTAGGTGTAAGGCAAAATAGAATAAGACAAATACATAAAGGCATACCATTCTTATAGAACCCAGTAAAGACAATAATAAGTTTGATTTTATTCTTAATGCAACTGTTTTTGGTTAGAACTATTGGATGGATAGTGATCCCATTTCAGAATTAGGAAATATAGGAGGAGAAAGGGTTTAAGGACTACAAGATAGTTTGAGCTATCTATTCCTTCCTTTCTTTCTTTTTTTTTTCTTTTTGATACCCAAGTGGAGATATTAACACAGATAATTTGTTATACAGTTCTGTGCCTCAGGGATGGTTTGATATTTCCATGGTTGGAAATAAGGCAGGTGGAGTCATCAGTGTAGGTACATCAGTGTAGGGCTTGCATATGATTACCAGAGAGGAAAATATAGGTAAACAAAAGAAGAGAGTGGGATCCAGCCTCTGGAGGACTTCAGTCTCTCTATAGGTTAACTAAGTGGAGAGGAACATTAGAGAATTATATAATAAAGGAAGAAGAAATCCAGGAAAGTACTGTGTCATAGTAGCCAAGAAGAGACAGTGCCTTAAGAGACTGGTCATTGTTTTCAAATGTTGCTGGAAGTTTCGCTAAAGTGAAGGCAAGGAAGTGACCTTTGGACTTTGCAATACAGCTATGATTGGTGACATTGATAAAAAATAGTTTCAGTGAATTGGTCTGATGGAAGATAGTTTAAAGTGAGTTTGAGAGAATGCCAGGTGCAGTGCACATGCCTATAATCCCAGCAGTTTGGGAAGCTGAAGCAGGAGGATCTTGAGTTTAAAGCCATCCTCAGCAATTTAGCAAGGTGCTAAAGCAACTCAGTGAGACCCTGTCTCTAAATAAAATACAAAATAAGGCTGAGAATGTGGCTCAGTGGTTGAATGGCCCTGAGTTCAATCCCTGGTATCCCTCCACTATCCAAAAAGTGGGTTTGGGAAAAAAATAGGTGGTAAGGACGTAGCAAATGCTGCACAGTCAATTATTTTGATATTTCTGTGATAGACAACAGATAAATGGTATAACAGTATGTTTTCTAAGCAACAGACATTACACCTCTTTTCCTCCCATTAACAAAACTCCAGTTTTATAGCTAGTAAAGATCTATTGCTCTCAAAGAGTAACTACCCTGCTCCCTGTCTCAAAATTAGTCTCATCCCCTTATATTAACTCTGGGGTTCTTTTCCTGGTAATGGGACTAAGTGTGGCATACTATCTACTTCTAGCTAATGAGAAAGTCAAGTGGAGGACTACCTTTCCAGAATAAACAGAGCCTTGTGAAAAGAAAGGTTCTCTCTCTGACCTTTCTGTTTGGGATGTTGGAATGAAGCCATGACACCTGGCAGCCATCCTGATCATCCAGATGGAGGGTAAAGAGCTAGTATCTTAGAATGACACCTGGAAGAGAAAGGAAAAGATTTGGTTTGTAATGATATTGGTAAGCTGTTGTACCAGGTTTGGACTGCCTACTCTAACTTCTTGTATATGAGATTAAAAGCAAAAACCTTATTATTGAGACTCTTGTGAGTAGATTATCTATTATT